TGTTACTGGGGTATTGGTTTTCATAACCATTTGTCCCCATAACGAGTGGCACTGGTGGGAATACTGGGAAACTGGAGTGTCTAAGGAGATTGCTTGTAAGACTTGCGGTTAGCCAGTGGGGTGAGACCGAAGTCCTCCTAGTCTGGCTGGTTTGGTTTGCCTTAGAGGTGGAAAAACCCCAGCCTTGGGCTGTAACTGCCCTGTTTGAGCAATTTGTCCTAAGTTGGCACTCTCAGTTGGGTTCCGCCAGAACCGCATTGTCACACTTGGTCACAGGGTTCCCAAGATACAGACCCCCCCACAAATGACCTGTTTTCAAAGGCTCAGGGTACGTGTCAGGAAAGACCAGGTCCCTCGCCTCAGGGAGTGGGACGTGGGGCCTTTCCCCTCTAGGAAGTTCAGGCTACAGTCTGGCCCCAAACCTGGCTGGCTGACTCTGGGGTGGAGAATGGGACACGGGTGTTTCCCTCTGGGGGACGCCGGCTCCAATCAGCCAAAGGGCCAGGGACTGGCTGTCTTGCCCCCAATGACACACTCAGTGGCTGTGGTGAGTGTGTCAGTTCTCAGCACCCCGGGTGGGTGGGGGGAGGGATCCCCTCAGACCGCTCCATACTCACAGCCCCCTCCGTGGTGCTGGGCTATTGTGTTCACAGTCCGGCTGAAGCTGAACAGGGAGCGATGGATCACCAGCTCCAGGTCCTGCCACTGCTTCGGGGTCAGGCCCTGCTGGGCCCAGGGCTGCAGGAAGCGGATCTCGCAGGTGCTGCAGTCCATGGAGTGGGTCTCCAGGTCGCCCAGCAGGGCCATCCCCTGCATGTCCGTGGAGCTGGCGTTGTGGAAGACATCGATGTGGAGCACCCGGAGGGTGACAGACGCTGTGGGGACAGGAGGGGAGGCTGGGACAGGGGGCAGGAAACAGGTGGAGGACAAAGCGGGTGGGGAGAGAGATTAATGAGTCTGTCCCATGAACAATCCCGCACTACGGGGTCTTCCTGGTGATCCCTAACCTGCCTCCCCCATCCTACTCCCCCCAGCCAGGGTCACTAGCCCAGCCTGGTACTGCCCCACCCTGGCCCTAGTACTACACCATCCCCACGCATCCCGGAAGCAAAACCAGCAGGGGGGGTCCCCACTTACCGGCCAGGGCCCCCCATGCCCAGGGGAGGAGCAGCAGAGGGAGCAGCATCCCGGCAGGGGAAGGGGGATCCGGGCTCTGGTGGGCGTCAGGCAGCGGGACGAGGGGCCCAGGATCCCCAGGCACTTTCAGGCCACACGCCGCTCAGACCGCCAACTTCTCTCTTTGTCTGTCTCTGCTCAGCTCTGTGCCCGCAGCTGCCAGCCCCGAGCCAATGAGGGCAGAGTGAGTCGGGGAGTGGGGGCAGCGCGGGAGGGGGATCCCTGGCAGCAAGATCAGAAGAACACTCCCAAAGGACAAAAGTTTTATCGATGAAAAGTGCCAGTGTCAACAGCGCTCTCCTGCCGACAAAGCCGCTCCCGCTCCTGTGGGGAGACGTCTCTCCTGCCCACAAACAGCAGCTACGCTGTGCGCCATTTAGCCACCACAGTATAAGTGTGTGTGACGCCCCCTCCATCTCCTCCAGCCTGCGGTACCACTGCTCCCCGCAAAGCCCCCCGCGCTGCCCTCGGGCATCGGGTCAGCCCTGACTGCCCGGGGAGAGCCCCCTGGTGCTCCCCACCCCACTCCCTGCAGTACAGCCCCTAGCACCGCCCTGGGGCCATGGGGAGCCCTGACTGCCCGGGGAGAGCCCCCTGGTGCTCCCCACCCCACTCCCTGCAGTACAGCCCCTAGCACCGCCCTGGGGCCATGGGGAGCCCTGACTGCCCGGGGAGAGCCCCCTGGTGCTCCCCACCCCACTCCCTGCA